CTGCATTGCGGTAATACGGGAAGTTGTCACAGATCCAGCGGTAGATCTCGCTGAGGGTCATACGCCGGGCGGGAGCCGAGTTTATGGCATACTGGATAAGATTGGCGTAACTGTAAGGCGGTTTTCCGTCACGGTGGGCGGCTGCTTCCTCCTTGGTCAGCATGGCGTTGGAGTCGGTTCTAGTTCAAAATTCTATTTGATATATATTCTATTACAATATATGTCAGTACAGAGAGCGAAGTGTGATGTAATACCGCAATATGGCCACTAGATGGAGCCGAGCGACATAGGGAATATAGACTTGTCTACAATGCTGCTCAGCTCCATCTAGTGGCCACGAGGCAGTATGACATCACAATACATTTGACCTGAAAAGTGAACATATTAAGACTGTTAATTATAATTATATGTATATTTCACCCAAAATTAACATTTACAGCCATTCGGAGGACAAAGGGCCCTATGACTTGTTTATACATAGACCCCTCAAAGTGGACCTAGCCTCAGATATATTCTTTCATGTGAAGTACATATCATGCCAAGTAGTGTGTCAGTGTAACACTTCCAGGTATTTATTATCTCTAATAGAGGTCGCAGTACACCCACGGACAATGCCTTGGTCTGTTTTTCTCTGCAGAAGGACAGCGCCATCTTTGTTCAGGCCTCATCCAGACTTTGCATTTACTTCCCTGGACTGAGAGGCCGACTCAGAGATGATACAATCACGTAACTCCCGGTGCCTCTGCACAGGGGCGTCCCGAGGCCGGGTGTCAACCGGAGCGCATGCCAGGTGACAACCCGCTGTGACGCCATCACGCATGTGCGGCCATCTGTGTGATACCTGCCGGCGGCCATCTTGGTGATGGACACCGGCAGAGAGGGGGGGGGAGGGAACTTTCACCAGGCAGGATAAGGTATGCCACCGGGTCCCCACCTCTCTCCTGACACTGTCGGGCTTTCGGTCCATGACCGAGTGTCTTACTTTTCAGAGGGGGTGACACCAAAATGACTGGCAGTAATTTTGGTGTCACTCCTCCAATGGTGTCAACCGAGTGCGGGCCGGACCCCCCGCACCCCCCCTCTGGCCACCGCAGTTCTTAGCTGGGTCCACAAATGTATGACACTGATCACCTTGGCAGTAGTCTCTCATCTCATTACTACCAATGTAAGGAGCATTCTCCCCAATATTTACAGCGTGTTGTCAGTGGGTCCCCGTGCAGGGCTACAGACTTTCTTTTGTTTACTTTTATTTCATTTATAGGAGGAATTGTTTGTACAATGTATCAATAAAATGAGAATGTTAGAGGCGAGGTTTTCTTTTTTTGTTTCTAGGAATTGTTCCTCTAGACCAGATGACCTCAAACTTTTACCCCAGAGGGACTTATAAATATTATATTACAAATTATAAATATTATTCTTGTTTTATTTGAACTGAACCCGGATGAAGAATGTGCAAACGGATTGCCTGCGAGGGGCAATAAGACCTTTTCTCAGAGACGAAGGCTTCGCTTATAAAAGGTTCTACACTTGACATGGCACTAGCGCCCCCAGATGGCGAGTTTAGGAAACCGTGTCAGCGCCATCTAGGAGTGAACTTTTATAAATTAACCCCGTAGCGTTTCTCTTCTGCAACTAAACAAAAAAAAAAAAAACGTAAACATTCTGTTGCGTCCAGTAAATAGACACCAAACATGCCAAGCCCAAAAAAATGACTTGCACCCGTAATAAGACAAAAAAAAAAATCTGGTACCCAGAATTCCCCATAAGCAAAGCTTTCGAAGCCTTTCCAGGTCATCATTTTAGATTTGACAGTGTATAATGGTCCTGGAACTATCACTCTCAACATGGCGTGAGTGCGATACCTGACGTGTGGTGCAGTCATCGTTTTCGTCATGCTGGTGCACATGTGTTTGCATTAGTGTGCATGTGGGAACGGGAAGGAACGGGGTACTTTTTTTTAATTGTATTTGAATTTTTTTTTTTAAACTTAACTTTATTGCTATCACATAGGGGATAACAATCCCTCTATGTGATAGCACAGGCACAGTGACAGGTCCTCTTTAAGGAGACATTAGGGGTCTCTAATACCCCCTAATGTCACCTGCGGACCCCCAAAGAAGCTGATGAAGCCGAGATCCGCTTCATCAGCTTCTTCTCTCTGGCTATAGCAGCCAGATGACTGACAGGTGAATGCGGAAGTGATGTAATACACATCACTTCGGCATTCACAGCACGGCTGCGCGCCCAGGAAAAAAAATTATGTACATTTACGTGACCCAGCCGGGAAGGATCCGCCGTCCGCCCGTAATTTTACAATGGGCGGATGGCAAGGGGTTAATATGGGTTCAGGAGGCACTCCGTCCAATCCAGGAGGCGGCAGGATTTTGCATTGACAACAATTAGAAATGATCTCAGAAGTTAGGCGCTGGCTGTAAAAAAAAAAAATTTTTCAAACATTATTTCTTTTATTGAAAATTTTTGTTTATATGAAAGACAAAACAGTCTCGATACAAGATAATAGAATACAGAACAATTCAGTTGGTACATACATATGTATCACTATGCATTGGGGTCCAAGTCATAGCTGCTATGTAGAGATTGGGACACATTATGTAAGACCCATTGAGTTCAGAGACACCTGTATCACACAAACAATAAAAATAAACTAAGAGAAATAAAAAAAACAATCATGCAATTCTATGAAAAATATATGGTCACCGTGTGTAGTAGGAGCTTGTAATCCATTTACTCTATTGTCTATAGAATCGATGGAAGGTGTGGTTTTTGTATGCGAACATACGTTCGTATGAGCATTGTAGATTAGTCCTTTGGATCACTTCTGAGAAGTTAGGAGGAGATGTGGAGAGCCAGTGCCGTGAGATTAAAGACTTTGCTGCACATAGAATATGGGAAACGATCACTCTAGAGCAGCGATGGCGAACCTTTTTGAGCACGAGTGCCCAAAATGGATCACTAAACCAACTTACGTGTCTCAAAGTGCCACCCCTGCACTTCGAGCCAAATACTAATGTGCAGCTTCAAGGTGGTCCATAAATGGTCTTAGGTGGGCCATGCAGTTGTCTGTATTGGCTCTTGGGGGCTGTGCAGCTTCAAGGTGGTCCATATGTGCTCCTAAGTGGGCTCTGCGGTTGTTTGTATGGGCTCTTGGGGGCTGTGCCGCTTCAAGGTGGTCCATAAATGGTCTTAGGTGGGCCCTGCAGTTGTCTGTATGGGCTCTTGGGGGCTGTGCAGCTTCAAGGTGGGCCCTGCAGTTGTCTGTATTGGCTCTTGGGGGCTGTTCAGCTTCAAGGTGGTCCATATGTGCTCCTAGGTGGGCTCTGCAGTTGTTTGTATGGGCTCTTGGGGGCTGTGCAGCTTCAAGGTGGTCCATAAATGGTCTTAGGTGGGCCCTGCAGTTGTCTGTATTGGCTGTTGGGGGCTGTGCAGCTTCAAGGTGGTCCATATGTGCTCCTAGGTGGGCCCTGCAGTTGTCTGTATTGGCTCTTGGGGGCTGTTCAGCTT